TCCCATGATAACTTCTGGACAATACAATCCAATATTAATAACTACCTAAAAATCCCCATTCCTATACCAAAGGAAAATAAATATCCAAACATTGAGAAAATCTATTGATCACGATTATTCCTTGGCTAAACATTGTGCATTGCAGGAAATGTTAAGCCATCGCATTCTGATTTCAAACCTATTTCGTGTGGGGTTACATATACATGAGAAAATTTTGTTTCTAATATTTTAATTGGGTCTATTCTATTTGCTATATCTTCATTCTCGATTGCAATAGAAAATATAATCCATTCCATATCTTAAAATAAATATGAATAGATTCGATTCAATGATGACATTTAGGAACGGCGAACATTAGTGACATGCATCTTGACAAATCTATCCAGAAAATCAAGAACATATTGAAGATTTTGATTTCCATGAAATCAAATATGTCCAAAATTCGAGAAAAATTGTATTGCCATCAAAAATAGAAATCTCAAAATTTCGGAAAATATCCAAAATCAAAATCAATTTCTTTCAAAAAACGATTTTTCATTTTTCAGGAATCTTCAAAATTTCAGGAAAATTTGCCCGATTTATCCGATTATGAATTTCAACCTCATCATCTATATTTAAAGGCATTTATATTTGTTTGTTATGTTATATGTTCAACAAGATATATGCAATGGGCTGAAGAATTACAATTTTATATATAAAAACATGATCTAATAAATCCAATTTTAAATTGGCTCATCTAGCCTGAGCCGGGCGTCCTCCAAATATATCAACACATAAATGTTGTCTTCGCAAAAAAAATATAGAGAGATTGATATTAAGTGGGTACCCCGGCATTAAGGATTTTATAATGTTAAAATGTTGGGACCAACCCCCCTCAAAAAATGATTACTTTTTGATCTTATATAATAATTGAAAATAATATAGGAAAATAATCCAAAAATAAGGAATCAATTCTATAAAATTGAAGGCCATGAGCCTATCAAAAATTGCGAATATTAAGAATTTATGTAAAATAAAAATCCTAAATTACTGTCGAACAGATATTTTTCAATTAGAATGAGACAATTAATATCTATAGAATCAAGATATAAGGATCTGCAAAAAATATAAGAATACAATTACAAGACATAATCAATATAAAAACAATTATAGATAAATATATCGAATTTATCCAAAATTTATCCAAGAAACCATTCCTCAAGGTTCTTTTAAATAATCTCAAGAACATATTCTCGGACTTCGGAATCAAACGAATATTACAATCCCTAACATATAAACAATTCTGTTATAGAATCAAATTATCTAAAACACCAAGATCCATTACACAATCATTTCAATATATATATAAACAATTATATAATATTACAAAAACACAATTCCTCATAAAATCGAAAAACAAAAAACATAAACACAATTATTTAAAATCCCAACCCCCGCAATTTTATTGAATAAACAATATATTAATAATCATAATTCAATTAATCCCAAACAAAAATTTTTACTAAATATTTATCTCAAAATAAACAATACATATAATCGAAAAAATATATTTATCCAAATATCGAAACGCCTAAAATTATCATTATACCATTATCTGGCCGTGGGGCCTGGGTTTTGGTTTTCCCCAAAATTTTAGGTAAATGCTTCAGTGGCAACCCCTCTCCATATAAATACGCATATCTATTCTTGCTCTCACTCTATATGAACAAATATATTATGTATTCCTGAGTCAGGATAATCTTATTGTTTTGGAAGCAACAATCAATCATTCAGATGGTTTTGAACAAGATAATTAGAAAAGAAATAGGTCATAAAAGTGGTCGTTTTAACAATTGTCCTCTAGATCTCTGCTTATAGTTATGTTTAGATTTAGAAAGATTGTATATAGACGTTTTTATGTTTTAAACAATTCTCTATAGATCTCTGTAGATAATCATGTTTAGATTTAAACAATTATATAGAAATCTTGTATGTTAACAAATTTTCTTCTAGATTTCTGCGGGCAAGAGCTTGCATTTTCAAAGCTTTCCTCAAGATCTCTGGGAAAATATATATCCCATATATATATATGTATATATGTGTTTTCATGAAAGGAAAATTATTGAAAGAAAAATTTATTTATTTATATATCGTATGTTTAAATTAACATGACCATTTCCAGAGATCCAGAAGAAGATTTTTGAAATGAAAACTTATATATAATTTTATTTTAGAAATGATCATCCCCAGAGATCTAGAGGGAATCTCTTGAATTAGAAATTTGTACATAAAACATGTTTAATATATATATATATTATCTCCAATGATTACTAACAATAAATAAATCTAATTATTTATTCCAAAAAAGAATTTTAATCTTGTTCCCAGCACTTCCAGGGCAAAAAATACTGTAAAACACGGGGTTTTGTAGTATACATTTCCAAAATTAAATAGATTAGAGCTAGAATAGAATTAGATAGAATTAAATTAGATTAGAATTAAAATAGAATTAAATTAAATTTGAATTTTAATTAAATTTGTATTGAATTATATCGTACCTATGTATGACCTATTTAAA